GAGAGACAGAAAGCAAGAAATCACCCCCCAGGGCGGGGGGATGGCCACATCACAATCCCTTCTTCTCCATTCTCCTCTTGGGATCTTGGGCATGTATGCACAGGAACCCAGCACGAGTTTTAAGCAGCTGGGTCATGAACTCAAACCATGGTCAGCTACTGGGAGTCCCATGATGTAACCACTATGCTATCTGCTGGTCCGTGTGGTCCCTTTTCTCAGCATTGATATAGCTATGTATGAGGCAGAGTTAGGTCTTTGTATCGCCTGGCGTCTCAAAATCTTTATTGAATTCTGGGCCACTCTTTTAATTTACATTGTGATAGCATCATCTCTTCCTTCCGCATGACGGAGACTTGGAAAACCTCTTCTCCTATCCATCCTAGCTGTGTTTTTGTGTACTTTTATGTCCACACAGGCTTTTGTCTGTGTTTTCATCTTCAGTTAATACCTTTCTATGTATGCTTATAAAGCTTCAGTGTAGAGATTTTCCTCCTTGCATTCAATTATTTCCTTTTCAACATTTTAATGCTTCTTATCGCTGAATTACACTCTAACATCCCATTCTATTGTAAATCTCCAGGGTTACCTACCACCTTGAAACTTCCTAACATCAATAGAAACAAGGCATGCAAAACTAAACAAAATAAGTTTGGTTCGTTTTCATTTCATAATTGTTCTCATTCTTTCCATCAGACATTTTAGAACATAACTCCTCTGTACTTCTCCAACAAACTTTAAAAAACAAAGCAAAACATGGACATTGACATTAACTCAAGATAATGACTTCTGTGATATTATTTATAGCAGCATGAAAGCATGTGTTATTTCAAGCAAAACAATCTAGGCTTTTTTCTTTTTTTTTTTTTTTTAAGGGAAGGGTTAATTGTAGAAAGAAGTACCCATAAATGTTTAGGTAGACTAATATAATGAATATAGTTTATTTTAATGTTCTTCATAGTTGAATAAAATATCCACTGAAAGAATTGAAAAAGGAAGACTATAGTCTTTTTTTTTTTCTTTTTTGAGAGATTTTTGCTATAGGGTGCATGAGCTTGCTGGAGACACACAGAGAGACAGAGAGACAGAAAGTGAGAAATCACCCCCCTAGAGAGGATGGCCACACTGCAGTCCCTTCTACCCCATTCTCCTCTCAGGATTTTGGGCATATACGCACAAACACCTGGTGTGAGTTTTAAGCTGCCTGATTTGGGACTCAAACTGTGGTTGACTATGTGGGAGTCCAGCGACATAACCATTATGCCATCCGCTGGTCCCAGGAAGACTATATTCTTATAAAAACTTTAAAACTGCAGCACATTCAAAGTATTTGTTATCTTGGAAATATAAGTTGGGAAGAAGCTGGCAGGGATGCCTACCTTAAAAAATCTTTCTCATCGGTTTTAGTGCCTGAAATACACCTTTGGAATTACTTTGTTGGATCATAATTTTTTTTTTTTTTTTTACATTTTTTTCCCCATAGGATGCATACACTTGCTAGCAAGAGAGAAAGAGAGAAAGTGAGAAACTACCCACTAGGGTAGATGGCAAGCAGTAATCCCTTCTCTTCCATTCTCCTCTTGGGTTTTTGGGTATGCACTCACACCTGGTGCATGATTTTTCAAGTCACCAGGTGCAGAACTGAAATCACGGTGGACCACGTGGGAGTCCAGCACCTTAACCACCACGTTCCCTGCTGGCCCTGGCTCATAAACTCTTTTACATATTCAAGCATCCTCCATTGAACTGATGACTCCTTGAGGGATCTTGTCTTATTTACTACTAGCATAGTTCTTGGCACTTATTCGGTGTCCAAGAAAATGCTGCATAAACAGTAAATAGCAAACACTAAAAAGAGCATTGAGACGGTTATACTTGAAGCTCAACTAACACTTATTTGATAGATTACCAAGAGTAACCAACCCATGGGATCTTGACCAAGGAATGTGGCCACTTTATGCTAGATCACCCAGACTTGTAGAGTCTCTTTTTTCCCCAAGTTGGGTTGCTCTTGTTTATATTGTTGGGGGTAGGGAGCCTGGGCTTGAGTTCAGAGATCAACAAAAGGAAGATAGCCATTCCTAAGAAGATTCTTGCTCTCCAAGGAATTAATATTATTTAATTCCTTTAATTATGGCTGTAGTACTTATGATGTACCCAGCTATCTGTGGCTTAACAGCATGCTGCAGCGCTAATCTAAACTTGTTGGAATTTTACTGTGGGATAGTATTATTTGTTATTCAGAGGGAAGAATCCCTACAGTGAAATTTAGATATTATTTTGAGGACAAAATGTCATTGACTGTGGTGATCTGCTTTATGACACAATGTCTGTGGACTATATTTTTAAAAGGAGAAAATATGTAATCAAAATGGAAACTTTGTGACTAACAGCTCAAAGTCATCATCACTTCTAACATTTGCATCACATTGTGAGCCCAGTAGAACTGGATGATTACTCTTCTGAGTGTCACCCCTGTGTTTGTTATGTGTGGCAAACTCTGAGAAGCTCCAAGGCTAAAAGTTCTCAGCAGTCCTGTCTTTGGAGGGATCTGCTATTGAAAACATTGATCTAGATATCCCTTTCCCACTAACTATCCTTCTCAGGTACACAATAGTCCAGTTATTCCAGCATTCTTTAATAAGCTAGGATTCCGCTTTCTCTCCTTTGTATTGTTTTCCTTCCTCCCTCCCTTCCTTCCTCCTTCCCTCCCTTCCTTTTTAAAGAGAGGTTTTTGCTATAGGGCACATGCACTCTTGGGAGAGACAGAGAAGTCAAGAAATCGCCCCCCAGGAGGGATGGCCATACTGCAAGTCCTTCTGCTCCGTTCTCCTCCAGGGATTTTGGGCACGCACAAGTGCCTGGCATGAGTTTCAAGTCAGGCAATCAGGGACTTGAACTGTGGTCAGTCACGTAGGAGTCCAGTGATTTAACCATTATGCTTTCTGTTGGTCCCTTTTTTCTTTCCTCTGTGTTCAAAATCTAAAAGGCAAGGGAATGTTGGGGTGTGTGTGATGTGGATGGGGAGAAAGGAGGAAGATATACACTAGATTCAAATGTTTACATAGTAAGTTTGCTTACACACACACACACACACACACACACACACACTCCAGTTGTTCCATAATATAAATGCAAGTTTATGTTTTTAGGTGGATGTATATCAATAAAGTTACAATTTAAATGCTGTGGGGGGAGGGTACAGCTCTTAATTTGAAGAACAAAAAAACAAAAAGCACATCAAAACACTTTTAAAGGAAAAATCTAAAACTAGCTAATTTAACAGTGTATTTAAACAAGTGGCGGCGTGTAGAACGCAGCAGGACCCTTGACCTAAGATTGTTTGCGATGTAGTTTTCATTTACACCCCCAGAAAAGGAAGTGAAATAAGAACCAACGTGATTGGCCAAAATTGGCATTTGCCTTTTATGAACTTGGTCTTCTCACTCGCTAGCCTATCGTTGGCTGAAGTCTGCTGTGATTGGCTGAAGCTCTGCTGTGATTGGCGAAGGCTTAGCTGCTGGGTCACCAGGATATATTCTTATGCTAGGTTACAACCATCTTTGTGAATCAAGCTAGGTTGCAGCTCAGCATCTACGAAGGCTGCTTTGGGTCAAATTAATCATCCAAGTAAGGCGGCCTGCTTGGGCCAATCCAGTTAGATTGACAATACCCCAAATTTCTACCTGTGTTTCCAACTTTTGTCTTATTTTTTCTCAGGAAAAAATCCTGTTTTCTCCCTTTTCTCTGTAATGTGTGTGCCTGTCTGGTTTGCATGGAAATAAAGACTCGGAGAGAGGATGGTGTACAACGTAGATACGATCAATTTACAAATGTGTTCTTTGTGCCAGAATGGTGTCCCTTTCGGGATTTAGGCAAGATATATGGGTCCACATTTTCAAAAGCATACTCTAAGATAACACAAAAGTGTACATGTTTTTAAAAAACTTATGACACATATGCTTAAGAAAATGTGGAACATAAATAGAAGACAAAATTCTATCTTAATCCTGCTTTTGATGTTTTGGTATACGTTCTTAGTCCCACGGTTTTGCCACGTTCTTTATTTTAAAAAGGCTAATGATGCATCAAGTGGTATCAGTTAATAGGTTGGATTTCCGAAACCTTCTAGTGGAGAGGACCCACACTGCCCCTTGGGATAAAGCCAGCCTCATTAGCCAACTGTGTCCAGCCGTGACGTCACGTGGGGAAGGACTACTTTGAGGACGCTGAGCGCCTGCCTCAGTCTAAGTTTTCGGATCAACCTGTAAGTATGCACTCGTGCGTTCAACACGTCTTCTAGAGCTGCCTGGGGCACGTTTTCCCTTGACCTGGGTTGCAATGGCTGCTAAACCCTGGGGGTGAGACGCAGAGGGCGGACAGTCGCCATCTGCCAAGCCGGGGCTGCCTCACCCTCAGGGTCGAGGCCATGGCCAGGCAGCAAGGGCTTGCCCAGGGCCCACGCTCCTGCGTCTGGGGTCTCCTCAGAGGGGCAGAGTGGACGTCTGGCCGCCAGGCCATTGGCAGTAGGCGCCCTGCAGCTGCCGAGGAGCAGCGGGGGAGAAGTGAGTCACCGGGGGGCGAGCGCCAGGCAGGCGCGCGGGCCGGGCAGGTCAGCGCCAGGCCTGCTCCGGAAGGCGCGGACCTCGCCGGCCTCCGTTCCCTTCCGCCCGCCTCAGGTGCAGCGCGGATCCTTCCGCCCAGGCGAGCGCTTCCGTGGCGCGGCGGCGGCTTCGCGGGATACCCGGATGGAAGTGTAATGGCCGCCATCAGGGACTCGCAGGCCATGGGCACTAAATACGCCAGGTATTTCCTGTGAGCGCGGCCGCCCAGGCCTGCCCGGATGCCGGGACGTGGAGAGGGCCAGCCGGGGAGGCAAGGGGCGAGTTTGCGGGGCGTCAGGGCACCCCCAGAGAGACCCAGGGCTGGGCCTCTCGTGAGAGGAAGCGGCTGTTAAATAGTCCCGGCCAGCCGGCGCGCTTCCGCCTAACTTGCCGCAAAGTTTTCCTAGAGAAGTCGGTCCTTTCCCCAGCGCTGGGGTAGGCTGCTGGAGCCCAGCCTGCGCTCCTGAGCCCGGGCCGGCGCCACGTCGGGGCCCCTGGGCTCTCCGCGCCGCCGCGCCCGAGGAGGCAGGCCCGGGCACGGTGTGCCTCCGCGCTGAGCCGCCGGACCCCGGAGGAAGGGGCGGATCGGCGCGGGTCGGGGGAACCCGGAGGAAGGGGCGCGCGGCGCTCGAAGCTCCTGCTCGGCGGCCGGCGGCGACGGCATGGGCAGCCCTCAGACCGCACCCCTCGAGCTGTAGATTCTCAGGTCCGACTCGACGGCGTCCCCGGTGCGGGCCCAGCCCATGGCCGTTTGGGGCCATTTCTTGGGAGATGCCCCGCTCTGCTGCGCGCCCCCGCTCCAGAGTTGGCCAAAGATGCTCCTCCCTGCAGACCCCAACCACACCCAGAGGCCGACGGCTTTCTTTGTGACTGGCTTTTTTCACTTGGAGGGTCCATGTTGAGTCTATTAATGTGGTGTCCTCATTGTCAAGTAGACAAGCTCTTCCGAGCTTGGTAGGGGAAGGGAAAATGTGTATAAAATAAAGTGATGTCGCCCTTAAGTAGGCCGACGAAGCAGATGTAGCTTTAAAGTTCAGAATACCAAAGTTAAGACTGAGTATTCTTGGAGGTTTAAATTTGGGGGCATTTAGTGTTTGTGACCTACTTTAGTGAAAACATTGTTAGCATGTTATCAAACTTCTGAAAAGAAACCCTCAAAAATAAAATAAGTCCATATGGAAGGAATTCGTAAGAATGTTGAACTCTACAGTTTGTCACAGTTATGAAATAGGAAGACATCAACCACACGGGGATAGGAATTTCATTAGTTCGGGAGGCTTGTATGTGTTAGGCCTAGTTTATTGGTAATTGTTGACTTGCCTATTTGCAGCAAGTGGGCTGATTCTAGTATATTCTTAGTAGCCAGAGATTGAATAGCTAGAAACCATTTGACTTGATTCAGTGAAATTTCCTAACATTCTTAGAGTTTAACTGCAATCTATTAAAATGGACTCCTTATCTTTCAGCAAAACTGTATTTTTCTTACATTCATAAAGAAAGACGACATTATATTGATATTTTCAGGGCATTGCATTTCATGGGGAAGATAAGCATAGATGAGTTTTGTAGAAATGATCATAAATAAGATCATTCCAAGATTAAGAAAATTGTTAGCAAAAGGTGGAGGAAGGAGAGATGAAATGTAGGTATTTAATTTATTTCGCATAGTTTCCTTACTGCTGCAGTGAAAATAAATATTACCAATTCAAAAACCTTTTGTAACTGATTTTATGGAAGTATTAATGGACAGCAACCACGGTGAACACCTACTGTGTGTACTGAGAATATACAAACTTGTTAAATACTTGAGGTTTTTATGTATGTCACACTTAAATTCCATCCTGTCCTTCCTGCTCATAGAATAGTATGATTCCAAAAGTTTTTATATAAATGTGTAGTTTGACTTCAAAATATACTCTTAAATGCCCATTAATGTATTTTTATTGCTTACTTTGAAGTTGTTTGTAAATGTCATTGAAGCACTGTGTAAGTTAGGACATCTAGTACATTTTTTTCCCCCTTCTAAATGATACCAGACTTGAATTAGTCCATATTTCTTCAGCTACTTTAGTAAAAATTTTTTGGGCCAAACACTGTAAGCAGAAGAAAAGAGTTATAATGACGTCCTAAGAATTTTTTTCCATTATCTGGTCCCAAGTGTGTAGGCTATGAGTATTTCAGTTCCATATGGAGTACTGACTTCACATGGTGAGCAGTTTTCATGAGACTTGAAATATAAAAAGTGAGTTTTGAGAGGTAGCATTGTGTTGGTAGAATAAATCGATTGGAATCAGATCCAGATACTAGTTTTAGTTTTGTGGTTTTGGGCAAGACTCATTTTCTCTGTCTTATAATAAATGGTTATAACGAATTAGACTGATCGTAAGCTTTGAGTTGTGACTTTCGTAAATTTATGACATTAACACTGGGTAACTGGATATCAGTGATATATACCTATGTGCAGAGTTTTTTGTTTTAATTACTTTATACACCTAAGTTGACTATGAAGTGCAGTCAAATTAAGAGTACATTTTTACGCCGTTTTTGCAGTCAGAGTTTTAAAATCTTGGTCTTCATTTTCAGCTGTCATCTCTCTTGATCACTGTTCCTGATTGTCCTACTGTCCAAGCATTAAATTGCGTGCCTTTTGTTCCTTGAAGACAGAGGTATGGTAAAAATTAAAAAGGTAGAGTATATAGTCTGCTTGTAGTAAGTTAGTGTGTTTTAATATCAGACTAAAGTAAAAGTTTTGTGTTGATGTGACTGATAGAAGTTGTAGTTTTATTTTTGGCCAAAATGAAATATATACTTATATTCATTTTAATATAAATAAAAAAAGTAATTTTGAGTTTCACAATTTCTTACTTATATTTTGTTAGTGTTTTTGGTTGTTTTTAAATTTTGCCAAAGAGTATGTACACTTACTGGAGAAAGAGGGAACGTAAGAAAGCACTGTCTTCACCATGGGAAACCATCATGCTGCAGTCCCTTCTCCATTGATCATTCCTTTTGAGATTTTGGGCCTGCATACACACTGTATCCAGTATGTTTTTCAAGCTACTGGGTCCAGGACTTGAATTCCTCAGTTGACCATGTAGGCTTCAGCTGCTTTAACCACCATGTCACTGGCTGGCTCATTCTGTTAGAGATTTAAAGATAATTTTAGCTGCATTATTCTCCTAAGCATAGACATGTCGTTAAAGCTTTAGGTAAATAACAGTGGGGTAGAAAAATGTTTTAAACCTATATAAATGACCAGAAGAGTGTCCGTGTTTCAATATAGTTTAAGTGAAACAATGGAACTAGAGAAAATGTATATAATAGGTGCTAGTGCATTATGAGTCGGAAAAGGGACTTGGGAATTACCACCAACTGGTTTCTCCTGGAGACAGTCTTCTGGATATCTTGGTATGGATAAAGAGAAGGAAAAAATATTTGTCAAATCATTGGTACTGTAAGGAGTGCTTTGGAAATGTGTGTAATATTGTATACAGCACGAAAACATGGTTTATCTGCTGTTGAAACGTATGTGCTGCTGTTTGTGTTAGATAGGTCCTCGGTTCTTTGAAATCCCGAAATTTCTGGATATCACAGTGTCATATAATTCCCCTCATTAAATGTAGTGTGTATACACATAAATGTAATTCTAAGTTAGGAATACGATTTTGTAGGTAAGTTTTAAAATAGCTCAAATAGACTAACGATCTTTCATTATTACTGTAGTAATGACAACCATTTTCTTTCCTGAATAAAAGCAAATGGCTTTTTATTAAGGACCATTTTTCACAAAGGCGTGGAGTTTTTATTTTGCCGGAAATTAGTATCTGACAACTACGTTGAGTAGAGAGGAACAAACCTGAATTGAGAAACCAGGTTTTTATTTATGTCGTTTACCTAAGTAACGTCCTTGTACGTAGTATTTGACCCTGTACCATGAGATTCCCATGGCCATGTGTTTCCGGAGTAGGACACATAATGCTAAATGCTAAGAGTTTTCTATACTGTTTCATCCACACTACTCAGAAGAAGTAATAAAGAATGAAAACTTCAGACATAATGAAGTAAATAAGAGGCTGCTATGTAGTGACTGCTCAGAATGATTTGGCTTATTGCATCTTGAAAATTAATGAGCAAAGTCTGACTGCAAATTTAAAGGGATCATTATGGCTGCATGAAGGAAGCATCAGAATGTTTGAATGAAGGTGCATGTCTTGAAACTTAGGAAAATTAAGTAGATGTCACATGGGCCTCATTTTAAGAAATGGTAATATTTGAAAACAAATACAGGCTTTATAGATAATAAGTCAGGTAATTTCAAAATGTAATAAAATCATTGTCAGTTCTTCATTAAAATTGGCTTGTTGAAAGTTGTGACAGTAGAAGGTATTTATGATGTTTTTGTTAATTCACTCTCTCTTCATACGGGAACTAAACTTCCCTTATTCTGAGTGGTTGGTGGACTGTTAGTCTTACAGTCTTATAACTGGAGACTAATCATCCCTGACTGAAACAGTCAGATTTCTTTCAAACTGATGTGTGAATGCTAAGAGAAGGATGCCTCCCTTTTCTCTGAAGTTAACCTGGGAGGTGGCTAGTGACAGTTTTTGCCACATGGATGAGAAGCACATCTGTAGTAGAAGAACATGATGCCATATTAGTGAGAGATGGATGGCACTGGACAGTCAAGTGCTAGTTTCAGTGTTGGGAAACATAGTATGTGGTACCTGTAGTTTTATTGTGTCCCTTGCATTCTGTTTGGCCAAAATTCTATGTATAAATTTGTTTGAATTGAATTGTAGCAGAAAGTGTTCTGATGACTATATGGCCTTTGTGAATTTAAGATGTAAAGCTTTGAGTTAATCATTTCCATCCTTCTGTAATTTGCCCCTTTCTTCCTTCTTAGAAAAGATGTCCTTTATTTATTTGTCCTGCCTACATGCATTCAAGGCTATTCTTCATTCAACTTACAGGCATTTATTGGGTGTCTACTGTGTATACACATGTGCACCTGCCTGGGTAGTCGAGTATTAGAGGATGGTGAATTTTTTCTAATATAGATTATTTTTTATATATTTAGGTTAAACAGATGAACATGCATGTGTTCAGAGTAATCATTGTGGCACATAGCATTTTAGTCATATGTAAGAATAATGGGAATTCTTTGCCTAAAGTGCTTACAGTTTTGGGACCAGCCAGTGGTGTAGCAGTAACACACTGCTCTGTGATTCTGGACCCCCATGGGATACTGGACCTGGGTTCATGTTCTGAGGTCTCTTTGTGCATGCTGATCATATCTCTGTATTCCTGTGATCTGGGCTGGCTGAAATGGGATGGATCCTGGTATGAAGACCCTGTTGGGAGTGACTATCTCTCTCTCTCTCTCTCCCTCTCCTTCTCTCTCTCTCTCTCTGCCTCTTTCATGGAAGGAAAAAGAAAAACTTAAAAAATATGAAATAAAGTAAAGTGCTTAAAGTTTAGTCAAGGACTCCATATTGCTGTCCAGAAAACATAGCACAAAGCAGATAAATGAATGTACAATTGTATTTTAAGTTTGGGTTCTAATAGGAAGTAAATTCATGAGGGTTGGTCTATTTAGGAAGGTTTCTTGATAGAGGTTTTGACTTATGAGTAGGTTTTAAAAATTTTTAAGAATTATTTATTTCATTATTATTATTATTTTAATTTGCTATAGGACATGTATGCTCAGCAGAGAGAAACAGAATGAGAGAGAAGGAAAGTGAGAAAACAAGCTACCAGGTTTGGGACTCAAGCTACCAGGTTGGCCATGCAGGAGTCCAGCATGTTAAATCACCACGCTGCCTGCTAGCCCCCATGAATAGGGTTTTGATAGGCACAGAGAGTAATTGAAGAAAGGATAAAGTTGGAAATGATTATGAACTGATCCAGGATGGGGTAGAGTTTGGTTTGATTGTAGTGGTATGCGTTTTTTGGGGGAGTGAGAAGTAGTAAGATGTAAGATATAAGATTAAAAATTATATTATATATTAGGTCAGGGACCAGCAGTTGGCGTAATGGCTATGTTGCTGGACTCCTATGTAGTCGACTTCAGTTCAAGTCCCGGACTCAGTGGCTTAAACTCACACTGGGCATGTGTGTGTGCATGCCCAAGATCCCGAGAAGAGAATGGAGGAGAAGAGATTGCGGTGTGGCCCTACCCCCTGGGGGGTGATTTCTCAGTTTCTATCTCACTCTGTCTTTCTGACAAGCACACGTGTCCTGTAGGAAAAAGCCTCTAAAAAAAAAAAAAAAGAAATGAGATTAGGTATTAAATATGTGAGGTAAATCCATGAATGAGATACTGGAAAGCCAAGCAGAAATTTTGGTTCTTTCTACTAAGATGGAGATTTGAGTGAGATTTTTATATTTCTTTTAATATTGGGTTGCTGGGAAAGTCACGCCATGTTTTTCTGTGCAAAAATGTGCCATGACTTTTCCGACACCCTAACGTAATGCCATTTTTTTCTCATGGTAAAATATAAATTAGGTTCAGTGAAATTGTATAAAATTATTCACTGTGGAAGAAAGTCTTCCTTGTATTTATATTGAAGACTTAAAAAATAAGAATTAACTTGGAATGATCTTTGATTTCTATTTTTTCATCTCTTCTTTTTTTGAGAGATACCTTAGTAACAGGTAAAATCATACCCCCTTCTCTAGCGATGCAGCACATTCAGAGCAATGTAGTAATAGGTATAAAGACATTTTAAAGAAAATAAGGATTAGAATTAATGTTTGATTATCAGAGAATGTTCATTTTTGAGCTCTAAGTACTAGGAATGATGTAGAAGTTAATGTTGCATTATTCACTGCGTCAGTGCTGCTGTCTCCTAGGTCTTTGGGCTGTCTTCTTTTCTTATAGCCAGTAATCCATCAGCTCAGAGAGATTAATAGAGTATTCCTTGTACCATGCTGCCAAACTTTGGCTTTAAATGGCCAGATAGTAAATATATCAGGCTTTGTGGGACGTATGGTCTCTGTCACACCTATCAGCTGCCCTTATAACATAAAAGCAGCCATAGACAAGTTGTAAATGAATGAACATGGCTGTGTTCCAGTGAAACTTAATTTACAAAAACAGGCAGCACAGGCTTTTGCCAACCTCTACGGTAGACTTAATGAGACACTTTATTCCACAAGCTCTCACATTCACATCCCCCCACCTGTTAGCATCTTTATTCCCCTTTAGTTACTATAGGTGAATTTAATTTGCTCTTTTTTTAGTTTAACTTTTCAATTTGTTCACTAGATTCTGTCCCTTCTTTCCTACTGAAGGACATTGCTGTTGTATTTCCTCTATCATCAGTTTTTCCATTTTTTAAAAAGAATTATTTATCTATAATCATTAGTATTTTTCAATCTGCTATAGGATATGTGTGCTCACCAAAGCGGGGGGTGAGAAAGCAGGCTGCCAGGTCTGGGTCTCAGACCGCAGTTAGCCATGTGAGAGTCTAGCACCTTAGCCACAACGCCACCTGCTGGCTCCCGTTTTTCCATTTTAAATAGATTATTTTCATAAACATGCAATCTACTATAATTTTGTCCATCTTTAAAAATAAAAAAAAATAGGGGCCAGTCAGTGGCATGGTGGTTAAGGCAGCTGGATCCTATGTGGCCAGCTGTGTAGTTTGAGTCCTGGACCTGTGGC